GGTGTCGGCCCCTGTTGTACCTTTTCTTCTGGTTGTAGTCAGCAGTCCTGGAGATGGGAGGTGGAAAGACAAAAATTGGGGGTCCAAAGATGGGACCTGGGAAGCCAAGGTGGCCAAAAAACATTGAGGGTCCTGGCAGAGCAAGTGATGCATCCACAGGCTGGAGAGGAAAGGAGGTGAGGCTAAGAGCAGGGCACGGACTGGGGGAAAGGGGATGAGCTGCGGGGCTGGGAGCTCATTCAGTGCGGTGGGCACTGTCTTCTCTTCTGCTGTGTATCTCCATTCCCTAACACAAAGCCTAGTGCTCAGTAAATATATTTTGAATGAATGAATCAATGAATGCATCCGTTATAACTCTGGCATTAGAGCCAGAAACTGTCATTCTGCTTTTCATCCGAGAGCCAGCAGTATCCATAGTGGTGGCAAGTACCACTTCAGGCCAGAGACAATTGAGTTCAAATCCAAGCTTCATCAACCACAAGCTGTGTGACCTTGGACAAGTCACCTAACCTTTCTGAGCCTAGACTTTTTTCTGTAAGTAGTGATAATAACAGCTCTCTTGGAAGTTTGTTGCGTGGATTAAATGAGATGCCATATATTGAGCGCTTCAGGACAGTGGCTGGCACTTTGGGATCACTTGCTAAGTACTGCAGGAGCAATAATGGTTTCTGTGAGCCTTGTTGGTTCTGGAAGCTGCAGCCAAATCAAATTGCTGCGTTTAGTTAGAGGACATGAGTGCAGGATCTGAAGCTAGACTGCCTCCTGCACTTACCAACTGACTGTGACACTTCTGAGCCTCAGTTTCTTCATTTACACAGTGGGGATGCTATCAGGACCTCCCTGGCAGACTGGCTGCGAGAATTGGGTGATGATTCCTGTAGAGCATTTAGCACACTGCAGGTGCACAACGATGCTGGCTTCTAGAATTCCCCATCAGCTGAGACGGAGAAGGCACCGGGAGGAGCAGGCTTTGTTGAGGGTGGAAGGACGGGAGCTCTGGACATGCTAAGTTTGAGATGGCACAAGACACAGAGTGGAGCTGTTAGTAGGCAGTAGGATTTAAGTCCAGAGGGAAGAGGTCTGAGATGGGGAAAAAAATGGGGAGTCCTCAGCACATAGATGGTATTTAAAGCCAGGGACTGGATGAGAGCACCAGGGGAGTGAGTGCTCAGAGAAAAGACAAGAATGAGGACTGAACTCTGGGGCGTGACACTTAGCAATGATGGAGATACTTGTCACTGCAAAGCTGGTGACCAGACACAGCGGTGTTGAGGGTGCACAGCCAGCCTGCCCAGAAGCATTTACTTAGCACCCTCTTTTTTTGTGTGTGTTTGTTTTGGGGAAGATTAGCCCTGAGGATTGGTCTGCTGCCAATCCCCCTCTTTTTGCTGAGGAAGACTGGCCCTGAGCTGACATCCGTGCCATCTTTCTCCACTTTACATGTGGGACGCCTACCACAGCATGGCTTGCCAAGCGGTGCCATGTCCACACCTGGGATCTGAACCGGTGAACCCTGGGCTGCCGCAGCAGAACGTGCAAACTTAACCACTGCACCACCGGGCCAGCCCCAACTTACTTAGCACCCTCTTATATGCTCTGTGCCGGACTCTGAAAAAGTGCTTACAAAAATTAACTCATTTACTACTCATAACAACCCTTTAAAGTAGGCACAATTATTATCCCCATTTTGCAGATGAGAAAACTGAGACAGAGGAAGATAAATAACCAGCCCAAGGTCACACAGCCAGCAAGGGGCAGAGCTGGGATTCAAACCCAGGCAGCCTGGCCGCAGAGTCTCTCTCTTCTAATTTCCAATTCCGGATAAACCAAGTGCCGACTGGACTTTCCAAGGGAATGCTGAAGTTGTTAGCCTCTGGCTCTTGAGAGCAGAGCTAGGAGAAGCATCATGGAATAAATTGCCCTCAGAGGTCTCCTTTAGCCCTGACATTCTAGGACCAACCCCAATTAGCATTTCAGATTCTTGGCTGAGGCAAGAAGAGGAAGGGGGTTAACAATCTATAACCCTGATGGATCACTTACTCCATTCAAGGCCCTGGAAGGTTCTGGGGTGGGGAGGTTATGAGGAGGCCTAGGGCTTCTCCTCCAACCAGGGACTCAGCACCTGGACCTCCACTCCCTGCCCCGGTTACTCTCAGGATGACGGTGGCTGATTGGAGGCGGGAGCCGGAGTTCAGGTGGGAAGTTGGGGTGGCCCAGGGGATTAGCCTCGGGGCCATCCTTTATCTCTATCTGGGGGTATAGTTGCTCTCTTGGTTCAATTGCCCCATAAAACCTCACTGTGATATGGAGGCAGTTGGAGGTCATTTACCCCTCGTGGAAGGTTCTCAATGATTGTCTGAACAAAGAGGTGAACCCTGGTGAAGAGGGAAAGAGGTAGGGCATGGGTGGGAGGAGGACTGGAGGGTCAGAGGCACCCAGACTCCAGGGCAGGGGAGAGGAGTGCAGCTGAGTCAGGCGTCTTTGCCACACCCCCAGCACTCCCAGCCTGCCGCTGACCTTGGATGAGCAGCTGCTAAGGAGAATGATTCTGATTGTGCAGAAGGAAGTCATGGGAAAGGGCGGTATGCGGGGGCCTGGGGAGGCCCTCTGGTCCATCCTGCCAGCTCCTGCCCATGTCCCCTGGCCTGGGGCTTCTCAGAGTAACTGTGCATCACAACCACTGGGACTGGTCAAATGCAGATCCCAGGGTACCCCCCAGACATCCCAAATCAGACCCTCTGGGGGTCAGGGCCCAGGGATTTCCATTTTCCACAAGCGCTCCCCTCCTGGCCCCAAGGCACTGCGCCTCGGCAGTGTATGCTGAAGACCACACTGAAGAACAGCCTCACAGCCTATTCCAGAAGGAGCTGAACAAGTAAAATGCAAGCCACAGTATCCCAGGGCCTGCCAGGTACACATCCACGAGGAAGGAGAAATACAGCCTCTCTCCTCAAGGGATGAAATTCTAATTGGGAATAAAAGACACATTTTGTAGAGTTAAATCAATGCTACAATAGATAGTCCTTCAAAACCAAAGGCCTGGGCCGGCCTGGTGGAGCAGCGGTTAAGTTCGCACGTTCCGCTCCCGTGGCCTGGGGTTCACCTGTTTGGATCCCGGGTGTGGACACAGCACCGCTTGGCACGCCATGCTGTGGCAGGCGTCCCACGTATAAAGTAGAGGAAGATGGTCATGGATGTTAGCTCAGGGACAGTCTTCCTCAGCAAAAAGAGGACTGGCAGCAGTTAGCTCAGGGCTAATCTTCCTCAAAAATAAAATAAAATAACATCCTTTAAAAAAATTTAAAAAAAAAAACCATAGGCCAGCAGACCAGACAAATTGCCACTGAGTGGGAACAACAGCATCATTCACTGAGCACCTACGAAACACTAGATCCTGTGCTAAGCGCTGTATTTACATACTCTCGTTTAATCTCATAAAAACTCTAAAGACAGCTATTTTTATCCCCACTTAATAATGAGTAAATAAAGCTTTGCTTATTTGTCAATGGCTCTCAAACCAGCCTTCCCTGACGCTTAGGTGGTTGGGGGCTGTCTCTGTTTTCCCACAATATCCCAGTGTTACGGCCTACATTTCATTTGTCACACTGTGTTGTAATCGCCTGTTACTAGGCTGGGTCTCCCACAAGACTTGAGGACAGATACTTGGTAGTTCCAGAGTCTAGCACACAGTAGGTGCTCATGTCACGTTTGTTGAATGAATGAAGACTGCGTGTCTGAAGTCTCAGAGCTAATAGATGAAGACTAATACGCATGACTCTAAAGCCTAGGTTTCCCCCTGAGCCATTACAAGCAGATGGTACACACTAGGGGGATTCCCGTAAGGGGCAATCTATAGGTTGGAGTAATCAGAGAAGGCTTCCTGGAGGAGGTAGAGTTGGAAAGACAATTCGAATTTGGAAAGACAGATGAAAGGTGAGCCATCATTCCAGGTAGGCCAAGGCATGCAGGTGGGATTCTACACAGTACACACTTCCTGCAAGACCAGAGACCCACCCTCACACTTCTCTAGCTTACCCACCGATTGTCATCTTATATCTAACTTCCATCCCAGTTACTGCGGTTCAACTGTTTTCCTCCAAGGTTTACAGAGAGACGCAAATGCTCCATTGTCTTTCCACGCCTGCACCAGAGTGACATAATGCATTATACTAGTGGATTTCTTCACTTGAAAAGTCCCTTTCAATAGCGAATGGGACAGTTTTCAGCTTCCATGAAGAAATAAGATTACTGTCTAGGATATACTGAGAAGTGGAAAAAAAGCAAGACAAAACAGTATCTTTGGATTTCATTTTTGCTAAAAGAACAGAAGGAAGAAAGGACAAGCACAAATATGTTTGTGCCCATGTGAGAAACGTCCAGAAGTTTATATGCTGAATTTAGTCGCAGCTGGTTCTGGAAAATGAAATGTAGAGAGATGTGGGGCTTTCACCTTTACTTTGCCAGTTTTGAGCTTCTGTCCTGTTAAACACTGAGCATGTATTAATTTTACAATTGAAACATAAGACACTATGGTGGGATTATAGGAGCTTTCAGTTTATTTGTGCTTTCTTGCTCCCAAATTTTCTACTGTGAACATCCGTTACTTTGAAAATTAAAAATCCTCCATAAAGGTTGCTAAAAAGAAAAGAAATAGATTTGCTAGACGGCACAATTTGTGATGCTGGGGGCAGGATGTTTGGAGGAAGTTCTAAAGATGTTCTAAACTCTGAGTCCTGAGAAATTCAGCACCTAGGCAAGCTGGGTGTAAACCAGTTCAGTCCCAACTTGGTGAAGCAGAGTGACTGAACTTAACCACCACGCCACCAGGCCAGCCTCCTATGCAGCCAAAAGTTGTTCCTCCTCTCCCCAGAGCCCCCCAGTACATAGTTGTGTATTCTAGTTGCGGGTCCGTCTAGTTGTGGCATGTGGGACGTCGCCTCAGCACAGCCTGACGAGCAGTGCCATGTCCGCACCCAGGATCCGAACTGGCAGAACCCTGGGCTGCCGAAGCGGGGCACAAGAACTCCACCACTCGGCCACGGGGCTGGCCCCTATGCAGCCATTTCTAACAATAAACATGTCAGCTTTATAGAAACACGGGACTGTCTTTATAAACTAATGCTAAGTAAAGAAAAGTCGAATGGAATATTGCATTTACATGGTGATTATGGCTATTATATATCTGCTATAATTAGAGTCAGTGAGAAAGAAAGTGAAGATGAGAGAGAAGGAGGGAGAAAATAGCGGAAGAGAACTGAAAAAATATAAACAGTTACAGTGTTAGGGTAATGGGATTATGGAGGATTTTTGGAAATATCCTCAAACAATGCTGACAGTTGTTTTGGTAGTAAATATGAACTATACACAGGGGCTCTGCGACTTTGGGCAAGTTACTTAAATTCTCTGAAACTTCGTCTCCTTCTTGGCAAAATGGGGACAATAATGGTACCCACTTTATGGAGCTGTTTTAAAGATTAAATGAGATAATCCATGTAAAATACTCAGTATTGTACCCAGTGCATAATAAACACTCAATAAACATTAGCTATTATTGTCGTTATTTCATCAATGTTGTCAATGAGGGGAAATTCTCATATGCTCCAGGTGGGAGCATAAACTGCTCAAGCCTTTCAGAAAGGCAGGAGAGTAACAGATACAAACATTTGAGGTACAAAAACCCTTTGTTCCAGGAATTTCATGTCTAGGAACTCATCCTTAGCAAACAATCTTAATAAACAATTTGACATGTACACCAAGAGGTGTGAATTATTTATAATAGAAAAAGATTGTAAATAACCTAAAGATCCAGCAATAGTTATGTAAATTATGAAACATACATACAATAGAATACTCTGAAGTTATTAAAAAGGATATGATATACCTCTATGTAATGATATAGACACGTACCTATATCATAACATCAAAATAGGGTACAGAACAATAGAATCTCATTTACATAAGACAGTATATGTACACACTTAAAAGTTCAGAAGGATAGATATCAAACTGCTATCAAGGACCCTCTCTGCCATTGCTGTGAATCACTATATATAATTTATCATCAGAAAATCCACGATGATATGTGTATGTGGTTGTTTCCTTTTTAATATGTGTCTTTACGGTTTTTAAAAAATAGGACCCGCAGCTGGGGTAAGGAATTCCAAGACTGGAGACTGAAGACTGGCAAAATGTGGCAAAGTTGGTTTCATCCGTTCAGAAACTGCTCAGGCCCAGGTCTGGGGGTCAGCGGCTGAAGTGAATTCTGCTTTGGATGGAAATGACAGGGGTTCATGGAGAGCTGATTCTGGTAAGGAGACAGACTTGCAGAATTTCCCTTAATTAATAATAAGAAGGAGAGCCTTGCAGAGTGCCTCATCCTTTCATCATCAGTCTGTTTGCTCCAGAGAGCAGTCCCACAAGACAGGTAGGGCAGGAGTGATGCTGAGGAGAGGGTCCTGCGTGTGGATTGGCGCCAGACGACAGAATAGGGGCTGGAATCAAGGGTCTGAACTCCCAGCCCTCCCCGCAGTGAAGTTCCAACAAAGTACAATTCATTAAGCTCCTAGCCCGTGCCTGGCGCACAGTGGGTCTTCAATGCATGCTGGCACCTCCTCCTTTAAGAGGGCACCCTGGGGCCGTGGGCTGCTGCTCCACTCCGCTCGCATTATCTGCACCCTCCTTGTGTCTGTTCTCCTTCAAGTGCTCTTTGCTGCAGCCAAACATTGTTTCCTTCCATTGTGGCCCTCCCACCTTCATCACGCTGTTCCCTCATCTGAGAATGCTGTCTCCTTACAGGCTCAGCCTCCTCCAACCCTACTGTGTCTCTAAACATCCAAATCCTCTTGTTCCCTCAAGACCTGCATCAAACGCCATCTCCATGCAAGGATGCACCAGCCCCCAGCTGGACACCATGGCTCTTCCCCATGCCCCGGGCCGCACATCTGCCTCTCTCTCAGGACGCAGCACATCCTGCTTGCAGGAGAGTTCTCGCAGCAGTGTGTTGGTCTCTGGACTCACAGGAAGCTCTTTTGGGAAGGGCGTGTGTCTCACTCAGTGCATCCGCAGTGCCAGGTGCTCGATGCACTTTGGTCGATGAATGAGGGGCTGAACGAGTCAGTGACGGATGAGGAGAGCACACAGGGAGGGATGGGCAGAGGTGGATGACACCTCAAACCCGGTGGCAGCTCCAGCCCTGGGAGCACGATGGGCTCACAGCCAGCCCTTCCCCAGGGTGAATAACCTCAGGGCTCGGTCCTGCCCACATCATAAAACGGCAAGTGCTTCCTCTTCAGGGGAGAAGTGGGCTGACCTGGGGGCTGAGCTCGGCATCCGGAGGCATTTATAAGCTGGGGCACTAGAGGGCTCAGCAGCACGAGCTTTCTCCTGCCCCCGCCTGCTCTCTGGCCTCCAGCTCTCCCGGCAGCATGGCCTTCACCGGCAAGTACGAGATCGAGAGTGAGAAGAACTACGATGAGTTCATGAAGCACATTGGTGAGTGAGCTCCTGAATATACCTTCCCTGGCTGCTCTGTCCCAGCCAGCTCGGGGCCAGCAACCCAAACTCTTGGACTTCGCTTATTCATTCATTCACTCCCGCATTTGTTGAGCAACTACTTTGTTCCAGGCTCTGGGACTAATAAGAACCATAATACTTTAAAGCAGTTAGGGAATATTACTATCTCCACTTTCTGGTGGAAAACTGAGGCCCAGAGAAGTTGAGTTACTAGTCCAAGGTAACGCAGCTAGTAATTGGTGAAGCAGAGACTTGATTGGTTTATTCATTCAAACATTTATTGAACCCCTGCTGTATGCAAGGGCCAACCCAATGTTACTGAAAGGGTGTCTCAGCAAGACTTGTAAATCAGTGGCAGAGGTCATTAGAACCCAGGACCCTATGAGGAGATGATGAGTGCTGTCACCACAACCTGCCTGGGGAGTGGTGACCAAAGGGTCAATATAGAGACCAGGTTTGACAAGTCACTCATTCACTCAGTCATTCACCAAACAAGGGCCTCTTACCGTGCTAGGCACTGTGGGCAGAGATCAAAGATCCTACTCCTCTCACTGCTCGATTTGCAACACTGGTTGTGAGGAACCAATGGGGCCATGGACTTAATCCTGCAGCAATCCTGGTGCGCTGTCTCAGTCTGAGGCAGTGCCACTGTCAAGCTTCAGAGGACAGTGCCACGGGACCTACCTGTGCCCTACCCCCTAGTGGCCAGGAAGGCCCTGAGAGCACAGTCCACGTGCTCTGGAGCCTTGGGGAGGAAAGAGCCCCTCCGAGTCAGTGATTGGGGGTGGCCCTGAAGGAGCCGGGACTTGGCTTCACCTGCGACACTCTAGTGTGGAACTGGAAGTGAGCCAGACTCAGTTCGAGACCCAGTTCTGCCTGGAGCCCCCATCCAGATGCTGGAAGCCCCATTCCCGTTCTGGGTCTTCATTTCCGAACTGTGGAATCAGAGCGTTAGGAGACTGTCTTGATGGTCCCATTCATTCTAGAACTCTGTGAGCTTGGCAGATTTCTGTTATATTTATGTTACAGTCCTACCAGAAGAGCAGCTATTATTTATTGTCAATTATATGCCAGAGGCTTTACAAGACACAATCACTTTAATCCTTGCAACAGCCCTGTGAAATGGGCCTTATTAGCTCCATTGTGTGGATGGAAACACTGAGGCTCCGAGAGGCGGTGACCTGCCCAAGCCACATGGCTTGTGGTAGGTCTGGGATTGGTGCCCCTCATTATCGTGCTAGCCTGCCGCAGGGGAGAAAGGTTCCTCCCCAAAGTCACAGGTTGTGAGCCGCTCCGACACGGCCACTCTGCTTGTTCCCGGGCCCAGGGATCCCCAGCGAGACTATCGAAAAGGGCCGAAACTTCAAGATCATCTCGGAGGTGCAGCAGGACGGGCAGAACTTCACCTGGTCCCAGCACTACCCCGGGGGCCACTCCATCACCAACAAGTTCACCATCGGCAAGGAGTGTGACATGGAGACTGTGGGGGGCAAGAAGTTCAAGGTGAGAGGCCGCTGGCCGCCCCTCCCTCCTTCCCCAGGTTTCTGGCTAACTTCTCCTCAAACACATCCCCTGGGGCTGCTCCACAGCGCAGCCTTCTTTCTCCAGTCTAGCCTCCAGCATTAGGAGCTTGAGTTACTTGGTGATTTAACCACTCCTGGTTTTTAGTGCTACCATCAATAATGGACACTCCAACGACAGTAAAAATTGTTAACATTTGCTGAGCACTTAATCCATCCCAGACACTTGCTGAGCACCTCACACACATTCACGTGGTTCATCCCACGAGGTCACTACAATTACTATCCCATCTTACAGATAGGGAGTCGGGCTGAGCCATCGGGAGAGGTTGCCCGGTCACACAATAGGGGCACGGCTTCACACCCAGCCAGTCTGGCTTCAGAGAGCAGAATCACTTTTTATGCTGCTTCCCAGCGTAGCCTAGAGATGAATAATCCCAGAATCAGACCCATCCGGGTTTGAAATTGCAATCTTGGGTAGCAAAGAAGTAAAAGGTAACTGTTTGTCGTCATCCTATCCAGACTGGTCTCTCAGGTCTTCCACCCATTCTGGGTCCCCTCCAGCCCCAACTATGGCCATCAGTACTTTGCTCCTCAGGCCACCAAGGCAGAGAATTAGTCATAATGTTCATATTCTGTCACTTGGGTATTTTAACGTTAACAATCTCTCAAGCTGTGTTTCTGGGCCAGCACACAGTGATTTGCCGTATTCTTTTTAATGGCTGCACAGTATCCTATTGTATGGAAACGCTGTCGTTTATTTAACACTCCCTCACTGGCGGACAGTTAGGCTATCTACGGGTGGGGAATCTAGGCTGGATATTTAGGTTGTTAACTCTTACAAACAATGCCGCAATCGACGTCCTTGGACGACAGCATTGTCACCCTGATGATGATGATCACAACCAACTCCGTAGTTAACGAGGGGCGCTCAGCATGTGCCAGGCATTGTTCTGAGCACTTTACACACATCACATTAAATCATTTCATCCTCACAGTCACTCTGTGAAGTAGGTACAGGTCCTACCCCCATTTCAGAGAAGAGGAAACTGAGGCACAGCGAGGCTGAGCGACTCGCGCAAGTTCTCTCTCTGGATAAACAGTATGTAACTGTCTGTCTATAAGGCCAAGTGACTGCCAGAGGGGGATTGCTGGGGCTGTGGCAGGCCCTTCCTCCCTGAGGGGCTGGCCTGGGTTCGGGGGCCTCTGCCAACTCAGGCTGGGTCTCGCTTCTCTTTCAGGCCACCGTGCAGATGGAGGGTGGGAAGCTGACGGTGGACTCCCCCAACTTTCACTTTTCCTCGGAGATTGTGGGGGACAAGCTGGTGGAGGTGAGTGTCCTGCTGGCTCCTGGGACGATGGATCAGACACTTTTCTGGCCCCAGCCCTGGTCCCTGAGAGGTGGGCCTCTGGGCAGCTGGCTCTGTGAGCACCTCCCATGCGCCAGGCTCCATGCTGAGCACTGGGGCATGTCATCTCATTGGCTCTTCACAATAACCCTGTCAGTTAGGAGTTTTAACCTCCATTTAACAGGCGAGGAGACCGAGGCACAGGAAGCCTCACTGATTAGCCAGAGCTTTTACGGACTCTTCCCAGAGTGTAAATGGAGGGTCCGGGTGGGCCCTGCAAGGGCAGCTGCCACCCCACTCCACTTCTACAAGGGACTGCGGATTCTTCCTGCTAAATCTCCTAATTTTTCAAGAGAAGCTGGAAATTTGCACTTCTATGTGAAATCTCCAGACTATTAAATGTCCGCACCTGGGATCCGAAAAGGCGAACCCCGGGCCGCCGAAGCAGATTGTGTGCACTTAACCACTGCAACACCGAGCCGGCCCTCTAAACATTTTTTTAAAATGCTGGCAAGGCCAACACATATACCAGGCCAGAGCCCCCTGGGGTCCAGTCTACTCTCCCTAAGGTTCTGGAGAAGGGAAATGAGGGAGGCAGGGTTTGCCACCTCCTCATCTTCTCCTTCTCTTCTCTTGCTCTCTATCCATTTCTCTCTTGTTTCCTCCTTTTCCTCATCTCAAGCCCAGTCTAGAGGAACGGAGCACACGGCCCAACAGGCTCAGTGCACTCCTATTATTCCCATTTTACAGAGAAGCCATAGAGGCTCAGAGACAGCAAGTAACTTTCCCATGGTCACACAGCTAGTTCATGGTGGAGGCAGATCCCATCAGTTGATTTCTAGACTAGGCTCTCTGCCTGTTCTTCCTCCCTTCATTTTAATTTTTTTAAAAATCTAGAAATAAATAGATGTATGTTTTAAAAAAATATACAAAAAGGACAAAAGTGACTATACTTTTTCCTGATGGAAATTGAGCTCTTGGAGATTCTGACGAAAGTTTTGGACATGTTTTTACATGAAGTCAGCAGTGGGTTCTGACTCCCAGAGGCAGGCTCCCCAGCCTGCGAGGTGTGCAGCGAGGACAGGCAGGAGAACCGAAGCAGGTTTGTGCCCGACAAGAGAACTGATCTTCCCAAATGGAATGAACCTGTTTCTTGATACCTAGAGGGTCCTGAGCAGGGAGCCTGTGTCGTGTGAGCAGTGCCCAGAGTCCAGGGTTGTCACACACACACGTATGCATGCACACACCGATGCATGCATGCACAAGGGCATAGGAATGCACGCATACAAATGCACGTGCACCGTCTGGGTTCCAAATCTCCCATCTCTAGAGGCTCAGAGTCATCCTGGCCACCACCCTCCTTCTGCCAACAGGGAGTACATTTGGTGGGCGTCCCTCCTCTGGCCTCCAGTTCACCAGCAGCTCCCCTGCCGTGTTTCAGCACCTCTCCTCTGGACTGAGCCCAGCATCCCTGCTGCTTTCAGCTTCCCCCCACCCCACTCCAACTTCCATTCATCCCACAGGCAAATCACACATCACCTCACACCACTGCCCTTTGACAAACCCGCTTCCATAAAACCCCCTCTGCAACCCACCCCCTTCCCGTGAGAATGCTGCTTTCCTTCGCTGGGTATCAGGACCAACTGACAACGCCTGTCCATCTCACGACAGCGTGTCCTGATAGCCTTGAGCCCAGGGCACTGCACACAGTGGGCCTTCACTGAACAGCATGCTCTTGCCTGCCTCTCCCACAGAACCTTACACTTCCGGAGGGCAGGGACCATCTTCCGCTCACCGAGCACAGGTGCCCATGAATGCTGTACGGTGGCGTGGTTGAGTGTGGCCTCTCGACCTCAGAAGGGTCACTTGACTTCTCTAGACTTTAGTTTTCTCATCTGTACAATGGGTACAACCCTGGAGTGTTGTTGGGAGGGTCAAATGGGATAATTCAAGGGAAGTGCCTGGCATAGGTGAAGGGAAATGAACAGGAGCTGGAAGCTTATCATGCGAAGAGCCACATCACCCTCAACATCTGTTTAGCACTTTTGCCACACTGAGACCGCACAGTGACTCACGTAATAAAAGGGGAAACTGAGGCCCAGAGAAGTGGTGCAGCTGACTCGCTTCTCCTCAGGGCTGGGACCGGAGGCCACTCTTCCTCCAGCGGTGCCCATGGTCACCTGGGGCCCCGGTACTGACTTCCTCTGTTCTGGCTGCTTCTTTCAGACATCCACGGTCAGGGGCGTGACCTACGAGCGCGTGAGCAAGAGGCTGGCCTGAGCAAGCAGGCGGGGCTCCAAGGGGGCTGCAGAGCCACCAATAAAGCTGGGATCAGAACAGACGTTCTGCTCGCCCCAGAACTTCTTTGTCTTTGGTTTTGTTTTCTGGTGTCTGGGGCCAGTTTCTGGCTGGCTGGGGGCGGGAAACCCCTGAGGATGGCTACACGGGCCAAACTGTGGCCTTGAGGTCCCTGTGGGATCTTTGTCACGGCAGAGGAAGACTTGAACGTGGACCGAGTCCACCTGACCTCGAAGAAGCCTGAGGTGGTGCTCCAGCAGCATGGTGGCACGCCTCTGTGGAGCACCCGCCCACCTGCCACCCACCACTCTGTGGTTAGACAATCCTTTCAAGAGACAAATGTCACCTGGGAGGGGTGACACATTGACTCTCACATGGGCCAGGAGGACAAATACATCAGAATTCGTGGGTGGGGGCAGGTGTGGCTCTTCTGGCTGTGAGGACACTGGGATGCAGGCCCCAGGGCTTCGCCAGGGAAGCTGTTTCAGCCTAGCCGTGGCTCTGCTCTTAATTTGCTGTGGAGTCGTTCCTTTGGGCCTCAGTTTACCTACTGGTATAAAGAGGGGCCAGGAGGACCAATAAGGAACTGAGGAGAAATGAGTCTATGAGGGGGCAAAGGGGCAATGGGAGTGACAGGAGGAACAGAACAGACAGGAATGTCATGGTCTGGACAGGGGGGCCTGGGAGAAACTTCGAGAGGCTGCAGTGGGCTGGGGAAGGTGGTCAGAAGGGTTGCCCTGATGCCCTGGTAGGTGCTGGGAGCCCTGAGTCTGGAAGGCTTCCAAGGGAGGCGGCATTTGGATTTAGCAGATGTCCCTGCCTGATTACTGCATCTCTCCGGGGCATGGGGTAGAGGCGGTGGCCTGCTGGCTCCTGGCTACATAACCCCCAACCCAGAGCCCCGAATCTCTCTCCTGGGAGTGTTCCCCATCTGGATACCACCTTGACTTCTTTTGACCCTATACTTCTCTGTATAACTGTTTTTATTTTAAATGCACTTTTTTTTTTTTTTTTTTAAGATTTTTTAAATTTTTTCCTTTTTCTCCTCAAAGCCCCCCGGTACATAGTTGTGTATTCTTCGTTGTGGGTTCTTCTAGTTGTGGCATGTGGGACGCTGCCTCAGCGTGGTCTGATGAGCAGTGCCATGTCCGCGCCCAGGATTCGAACTAATGAAACACTGGGCCGCCTGCAGCGGAGCGCGCGAACTTAACCACTCGGCCACGGGGCCAGCCCCTAAATGCACTTATTTTGAAATTTACTTACTTAAGGGGGACGGCCCTGTGGCCAAGTGGTTAAGTTCACGCGCTCCGCTTTGGCGGCCCAGGGTTTCAGAGGTTTGGACCCTGGGCGAGGACATGGCGCCACTCATCAAACCATGCTGAGGTGGCAACCCACGTGCCACAGGCAGAAGGACCTACAACTAAAAATATACAACTATGTATCGGGGGGCTTTGGGGAGAAAAAGGAAAAATAAAATCTTTAAAAAAAAAAGCAAAAAAAGAAACTTTTAAAATTTTTATTTTAAATTCACTTATTTTTACTACAATGCAAACTTTACATCACTTCTTTTTTTTTTGAGGAAGATTAGCCCTGAGCTAACATCTGCTGCCATTACTCCTCTTTTTGCTGAGGAAGACTGGCCCTGAGCTGACATCCGTGCCCATCTTCCTCTACTTTATATGTGGGATGCCTACCACAGCACGGCTTGCCAAGCGGTGCCACGTCCGCACCCGGGATCTGAACCAGCAAACCCTGGGCTGCCGAAGCAGAACGTGCAAACTTAACTGTTGTGCCACCCGGCTGGCCCAGCCCATCATCACTTCTACACATGGAAAGCTAACATCCTTTGCCACAAATAGATGAAAACTACTAAAAAAATCAAAGCTGAAAGATGTTGACTTCTAGCTAGGTTCTGTTGCCTGTGCAGAGCCCTGAGCCTGAGGCCCCCCTTCGTGAAGAGGGGAGAGAGATGTAAGAGACAGTCGCGTCAGAAGGGGGACATTCTCTTTGACTAATCACACCTGTAGGCCTGCCGAAAAGAGAGGAACACAGACTGGAAGTTGAAGTATCTAAATTACCTTGAATATACAAGTCCGGCACACGGGACATAAGAAATAAGGTTGACTCAATGCCTTGCATGGGGTTTGGCACACAGCAGGCGCTTAATAAGTGCGACCTGACGTAAGACCCTTCTAGCCCATGTAATCCATGGCCTTCCCTTTGGGGGCCAGCCTCAGCCGACCGGGAGAGACAAGACAGACAGCAGGGCCCAGCTCACTGGCAGCTCGCTCTTCGCCTCCTCCCACATTCTGCCCTGAAGCTTGTTTATCTTTCCAAGAACAGCACTCACTGCCCTCCCTACCCCCACACCCCTGCCCCGCCTCCCACCAAGCCAGGACCCCACGAATCCCATCTTTGGGCCAAGACTTATTGCTAATTAAGTGAACTAGGTAAGCATTAAATTAAACTAGCAGTGTTGCTGTTTCCCCTCCAGACTGAATAATTACTCATAATGAGCTTGGATAATAAGTCTCTAAATAACAGAGTTAACCATAATTAGGCTGAAAATTGAGAAAGAAAGAGAGTGGGGAAGGGGAGAGGAGAGAGAGAAATTCTTACTTTGGTAACTGATTCAAGGACAAATTCAAATCACCGGCAGGGGAGAAATTCTTAAGCCAGTGTTGTAACGGATTCTCAGACTCATGGAATAGCAGGACCTTGCAGCTCAGCACTTTAAACTCTGTATTTCAGAGATATGGAAACCGCGGCTCAGAGAGAGGAAGAAATTCATTCAAGGTCACACAGCAGTGAATGAGTCTCTGAGAGTAATGTGGGGTTGGGCCTCTTGGGCTGATGGAAGCTTCAGTTTCTCAGTTCAGCTTATGAGGGTAAAGGGACTAAGGTGAACTAGAGAAAAGTGTCCATTTTGCTGGCAAATGGCAAGGAGGCTTCCTTGGCCAGGAGAAGGGACAGTGGTTCAGAGATTCAACTCTGGAGTCACATTGCTAGGGTTCGAATCCCTCTCTTACCAACTAGAAGCTGTGACTTGGGGTAAGTTCAGCCACTTTTCTGAGTCTCAGTTTCCTCCCCTGTGAATGGGGATAACAACTTCCCTTACCTAATAGAGGCGTCATGCTACAGACTCACTAGATGTTAGCTACCGCCATCACGCCCACCATCACCACCACCATCGCCAATCGCCACCACTGTTATCAACCAGTGTGACGAAGGGTTAGGGGTTCCTCCTCCGGGAAGCTGTAAGGCCGTGGGCAGGTGCTGGATTCTCAGTCTCACCTTACCCACATGTAAAATGGGCTAATAAGACCTTTCCTTCCTGGGAACCAGGGGAGTTGCAAGGGTAAAGGATAAAAATCCACTCTCATGGCTTCCAAAAAGTTAGAGGAGCTTCATCATTTTGCTGTGCTGCTCAAGACGCTGTAGTGACTGGCCACACCACAGACCCCAGTCGGGCGCCCTTTACCCCGGGCCCTTCACGGCCTTCACCCTGATCTTCGGGAATCATCTCTCCCCCCTTCTGCCAGGGAAACCGCCTCCCTCCTGCCAAGCTTATCTGGTGAAACAAGAGCATCCCAAAGCATCTTTACAGACCATCACTAGGTGGCGCTCCACCACCCACCTGCCACCCTGTGGACACCAAGATGAGAGAGTAAATTGGGGGAGCAGAGGGAAGACGGTGGGCAGAGAAATCCTGAGAGATTGGGCCTTGGTGCTGGTGTGTATGAGAGATCTATGGGTGACAACGTGGAGGCCACACTACTCCTCAGTCAAGCATATCTAAGTGTGAAACCCAGTCTACCACTTGCCCACAGTGAGACCCTGAGCCTCCCTGAACCTCAGTATCCTCATCTGGAAGATAGTGATACTACTACTAGCTCACAGTGTTGTTTCTGAGGACAAAAGAGTAGCGGGGCTAAGAGAGCACGAGGAAAGTGTGAAATACAGGGCGTGGCACATAGTCAGTCTCACTAAACAGCTATTAAGGGCCCTTCCTGGTGGTTCAGCTGGTGAGAATGGGCACACACAGGGTCAGAGCTCTTAAAGCAGGGAGAAGTGTCCCAAACCAGCTGTGCACAGCATGACCTGGGGGTCCTGTTAGAAGGATAGCCCGGGCGCCCCCCGGACCTGCTGAACCATATTCCTTAGGTCTGAAGATCAGGGAGCTGTCACTGTGAAGTGCTCCCCGCCAGGCATGACCTGGGAGATTATTCCAGTCCCAACCGTCACATTTTTTTTTAAACTTAAAAAAAATTTTTCCTTCTTCTTCCCAAAGCCCTCCAGTACATGGTAGTATATTTTAGTTGTGGGTCCTTCTGGTTGTGCTATGTGGGATGCTGCCTCCGCATGGCCTGATGAATGGTGCCAGGTCCGTGCCTAGGATGCGAACTGGTGAAACCCTGGGCCACTGAAGTGGAGAACATGAACTTAACTACTCGGCCACGGGTCTGGCCCCCCAACCCTCGCATTTTGCAGATAAAAAAACTGACATCCAGAAAAGAGAAATGACCTGCCCAGACCCAGGGAGCAGCAGAAAGCCTGACTCCCTGTCTATCCTGCCTGTCGTGTCTCAGGCAGGGGCAGGGCCTGAAACCCTGGTCCAAGCTGGCCCTGCAGAAGCCTGACCACTCAAGGACATCCTCTTCTAAGGCTGCAGCTGGGCTGGAGGCAGGTGAAGCTCAGAGGCTCCCTGGGCCCCCACAGAAGGGAGGGCCCACTACATACAACACCCTCATAGAACGCACTGCTCAGTAACGATACCAAGCACTCTGTGCTTTCCTACCATCGACCTGAAGCGAAGGCAGATGGACTTCCTGCTTACAAATGAGACAGGTTCAGAGTGAAGAGGTTGCTTTTCTCAAGGTCATTCAGTTGAGAGCAGACAAACTCAGACTTCCCCCTCTCAG